GTGAATCATCAGGTTGCAAATGCGTCAGTGGGGGAACATAAAGGGGTAACTCCAATGATGCTGGTGGGGACACATTTGATGATTCGTCGGTGACGGGAGCAGCAAACGGAAAAACAGTCTCATCAAAGGTGGCATCTGCAACTGTATATAACCGTTGTTGTTGTGGAGAATAGCAGCGATAGCCCTTGACACCTGAGGGATATCCCAAGAAAATACATCAATGTGACCTGGGCTCTAGTTTGTGCTTGGCATAGGTTCATAGGTTCGGGTACATAGCGCAGCCAAAAACCCGAAGATGCTCAATGGATGGTGCGGTAGAAAAAAGTACTTCCCAAGGGCTACGCTGCTGCAGAACGGGAGTAGGCACTCGGTTGATAATGTGAACTGCACTTTCAAAAGCAAAATCCCAAAAATGAGAGGGAACAGATGCATGGTGCATCATGGCCAAACCCGTTTCAACCACATGTCTGTGTTTGCGCTCGGCCGAACCGTTTTGAAGGGCCAGGCGAGGACAGGATGTCCATTTATAAATGCCACGCTCCTGCAATAATTTTTTAAAAGATGCAGAAAGAAATTCTCCGGCACAGTCACTTTGGATGGCTTTAACTCGGGTATTGAGTTGGTTTTCAACAAAGTTTAGAAAGACCACGAAGATATGTAAAAATTGATCACGAGAGTTGAACATATAAAGCCAAGAAAATTTGGAGTAATCGTCAATAAAACAAATATAATATTTATTATTTTGATGAGATGTTACAGGAGCTGGCCCCCAAATGTCAAAATGAACTAATTCTAGGGGAGCCTTGGATCTATGAAAAGTGGGAGGATGAGGATGACGGTGACTCTTACTAAAGGCACATGCCGAGCAAGTTGGTTGAACAACTGACGACTTATTTAGCATGTGAGAAATAGTAGAATATGCAGCATGGCTTAAACGATGGTGCCAACGGACAAGGGAGCTGGACTGAGATAGGTAATAAGCTGAAGGAGAAAGCTTGGATTGATCCGACAGTTGATAGAGTCCCTGATTAAGGTTCCCTTGGAAGAGAATCTTGCCCGTACGGCGGCACTTCACAGAAAAACAATTAGGTGAGAAAATGAAATCACAATTGTTTTCCTGTGAAAATTGACGAACGGAAAGTAAGTTGTTCTTTATAGAGGGAACAACTAGGACATTAGACAAATGAAAATTTTTAGAAACAAGAGTACCTGTATGGGTTATCGGGAGGCTAGACCCATTACCTATGGTAACGTGTTGGTTGCCTATGTAGGGCTGAAGAGAGGACAATTGAGATGGATTATTTGTGACGTGGTGTGTAGCACCGGAATCTGGATACCACGGGTCCGAAAAGACTGATGGTGGTGGTGGAATTTCAGCAATGTGGAGCTGTGGTGCCGAGCCTAAAGATTGTGGTGGAGGCCCACGATCTCGGCACACATTGGCTCGGTGGCCAAAACGATTACAGATTTGACATCGAACACTACCCCTCCTTTGATTTCTGTAATTTCCTGCATTTGGAGAGTAATTTGGGGCTGAATTTCGAGGGCCAAAGTGCTGTCCACTTTGCGGAAATTGTTGCCCAGGCCGTGGTGACCTATCCACACGAGAAGGAAGCTGTTGAGGTGATTGGTGTGTTGTCCGCGTCATGAACGCTGCTGGAGGGGAGGTGATGGGCTCAAGCAAATCAAGTCGTGCCTCATGAGCCAAGAGCAGCCCGTGTAGAGACTCACGTGTAAGGGATTGGTACTGACTTTGAACGGAGATTGACACTGCTAAATTTTGATATTCCACTCCAAGTCCCCCGAACAGATGAGTTTGATATTCTTGTGAAGAGATGTTCTCACCAACCGAGGCAAGTTGATCAACAAGGAAGGCTGCTTGCTGTAGATATTCCGTGATTGTTTGATTTCCCTTGCGGAGAGTCTGAAGTTGCATTCGTAGATGTGTGGCGCGAGCACTGTTACGTGCTTCATATGATTGAGCCAAGAAGGACCATACGGCTGCTGAAGAGCCTAAATTGGAGAGCTGTGCAACGATGTTGTCAGCTGTGGAATTGAGAATCCACCCCAAGGCAATTTGATCTTGGGTAAACCATATTTCATATGCTGGATTTGGTGAACTTTTGGTGACACCATTCTCACTAATTTCAGTGATAGTGTGTGGAGGGCATGGTTCGGTTCCGTCGACAATTGACAGGAGTCGACTGGCCCCAAGAAAGGGGAGGAGGCGTACCTTCCATATGATGTAATTGTCTCCGGTTAATGTGATACCAACCGCAGGACATGTGATTGATCCAGATGAGCCCCCTGTGAGAGGGATGAGAGGACATGGTGGGATAGCATTCTTGATGAGGTCAGTTGGATTAGCAACACTTGGGATTGGGTTGCTTATTGTTTGATTGCTAGCTGCTGCGTTTGGGGAAGATGCGGATGAATTTGAATCTGATTGGTTTGCCATTTATGCTTTCGCAAGATATGGCTCTGATACCATGTAAAACAATGAACTAACAAGATGAGAATGGGTGGCAATTGCCAATACGTGTTTTGTGTTTCAGTAATAGAATTTTTTGTTACATTTTTCGGCTACGTATTGTGATGTCTTTATATAATACAAGCTAGGGTTACGGAATTAATGAAGAATAAAATCATGATCTCTTCTCTTTGGAAAGAATTGATCTTGCTTGATGAGTGAGTGGTGAAGAGATTGTAGCTGAATCAAGACACGTCATCGTGCTCTTTTCACTTTGGAAAGAATTAATCTTGCTTGATGAGCGAGTGGTGGAGAGATTGTAGCTGAATCAGGACACGTTATCGTTTCCTTTGACATTTTCAACTTAAGAGAGACGATGGGAAATTGTGGGAGAGCTTCGTCGCTAATCCTTACTATTTTTTCTTTTTACCACAGCATTAATTTGTTCTCTCAATATGTTCCATCCAATACAAATGCATATCCTGGCTAATGCAAATTGAAGGCACCGTTAACTTGACGACGAGTTTACTCTTGTAAAGTAAACCCCATCGGGATGACTTTGAAAGAAGTTAAGGACTGGATTATGCGTGTCGCGTTCGATTCTCTAGATTACTAAATACAAACGGTTTCTTTTTAAGCCAGGCATTTGATTTGTGTCATATATGATTCATGAGGTTAGTTAGGGTATTTGATGAGTTCGGGACTTATTTAAGGTGGGTTTCTTGTGATAAGTGACTTCAAGACCCAATAGCTAAGGTCGAGGCAAAGGCAACATCAAGTATTGTTTTAGTTCTTTATGTAGACTGCGTGTGATTTCTCGAACTATGTCCATGTAAATAAGAATAATTTTCTGCTTTTACTTTTTGTATATTCTTGAAATTTGAGAGAAAAAAACGCGTTTTCTTACCGAGAAATATAGTTTCATTTCTTTCAAACCATGTTTTGATTTTGGTCTGGTCCACGTGGAAAGAGTGAAAATAACAAATTAATTTTTTTTAACTATTTTCACTCATAAGATCTTTTGTTAATTCTTTTTTTTTTTTTTTGCCCGGGATGGGTTGTTCAAGACTTTTCAAGTACTTGACTGATTCTCATGACATGTATGATAAATTCGATTCATCTACTACCTTTGAACAAGGGAGACGATTTATATCACTTCAGTAACTTATGAGATTCACTGCAAAGTTGAACCAATAAAAGTCGCAACCTTGATTTACTCTAGGAGCAAACTCAAAAGGGCTTAAGGGTTCCGTCTGTACAGAAAATTGACGGCTACAGTCCGAATGTATAGACCTGATAAATGAGATTTGTTGGACCATGTGAACTCCAAATGGGACCTTCATGATCAAATGGATTATATTTAGGGGTCTAATGCACTATGTCTGTACCAATTTTGTCATCAATACTTGGGTCATTAGGTGCTCAGTGCTAGTCATTAAGAACATCCTATGTCAATTGAATATTTTTTTGATCTTGCATTCTTATGATAAAGATTTCGCAAAATGTCTTTTATCTTGCCTTACCACACATGATTCTGCATCCATGTTAATTTTCGAAGGACCACCAACCACACAAATTTTCATTGAATAGAATTTAAAAATCTCAAGAACTAAATAGGCCTGAAATGTTCTTGATGGGCTGGGCAAGCTGTGAAACGATGATCAATAAGAGTGAGCTGGTTGAACTTGACCATGTGTAGTGTGCTTCGATAACATGAAAGTAGTTCTCAAAATAAAAACATTGTAGGAAAGATTTCATTCACATAGTTGACGTATAAGATAATTAGATTTCTGACCAAAAAAAAAGATAATTAGATTGAATGCCAATAAAGAAAATGATGATTATATTGGATTATATTGGATTATTTCTAGAGCAGAGTGGCTTGTTGCTAGACGAGCTTATCGAAATTCAAAACCACAATGCCCAAAAGGATGACATTGCTCAATAAAATCTTTGAGAGACCCAACTTTATACACTGCCTCCACTAAAATTTGAGGTAATAAAATGTAAACAAACTTATGAGTTTGACTCTGCAGGCTCTTATTTTTGTTGTTAGTGTTCATAGTTTTCACCATAATCAGTGGCTTTCAAGCAAGCAATGGACTCTCCCCCACTCTTTTAAGTCTCTTCATCTAACCAAAGACTGCACTCCTTTCCTACACAATTGTGGACAGAGATATTGAGTGGCCTGTTGATGTCTGTAAAAATGGCGAACCATACAAGCTCTCCCAGCAGATGCAAAACTTTGATCCTCAGTCGCTCGCTCAATCGCTTCTTTCATATCACCGAAAGCCGGTCAATTCGGGGTGATCCATCGGTCAGTTTCCATCTCCATGGTCATTATCCGAGGCCCTCTAGGACCACTGCAAATTTTTCCACCGACTGGCAAATAACTGGAGCAATAGATTAAGTCAAACCGTGTGGGCCTTTCTTGTTCGGAAGATAGCAATGGTACCCATCACAAGACTAATTTGTTCCATTGGCTTTAGCAGAAAACAAGGAACAGTCGTAGAAGCTGCTTGATCTATGAGCGTTTGCCGTGTCCCGTAAGCCGTCGCGTATGCTCGGGTTCATTATAAAGCACCCTGATATAACATATTGATCTTGCAGTTTGGGTGATCCAATTCCGACCAAAGCCCGAATTTAGAATGCCGTGCGCCACTCCCCGTGCTCTTCCTTTGCGCGCTCGCTTGTTCTTGTTCTGCCTTGTCTGCTGTCCTTTCATTCCCTCTGTTGCTCCTCTGTCCTTCAATATAACCAGCTTCGACACAGATTTGAGAGACATATTGTATGAGGGAGTCGCGACGGCCGCGTATGGGTACATCGTTCTCACCATGGTCAATCCTCCGCATCGCTACCAGGTGGGCCGGATTAAGTACGCCAACCCTGTCCGCATATGCGATCCTCACACGGGGCGCCAAGCGGACTTCTCGACCAATTTCTCGTTCACCATCGAGATTGGCTCTGCTCAATACAGCGATGGCCTGGCCTTTTTCCTCGCTCCTGTCGGGACCCCGATCCCACCCAACTCGGCCGGTGGATTCTTGGGATTGTTCAACGCTAGCACGGCTAATGAGGGGCATCGGAACCGGATCGTCATGGTCGAGTTTGACACTTATGTGAACCCGGAGTTTGATCCCCCGATGCATCACATAGGAATCAATAAGAACTATCTCTCGTCCCTCGTTTCTAAGCCCTGGGATCCCGTATCGCACAGCGGGAAAGCGATCCTTGTTCTTGTGACCTACAATTCTACGAGCAAGAACCTCACCGTGCTCTGGTCATTCGATGGCAAACCGCCTTCCCAGGACAAGACCTATCCCTCGCTTTCTTGGTTAATCGATCTTGCGAGTGTCCTTCCCGAATCAGTAGAGATCGGGTTTTCAGCTTCTACTGGCCTATATCATGAGAGACACAGCATCAATTCCTGGGAGTTCACTTCGAATTTGGACGACGTAGATCCCCTGCTGCCGGATAGATCGCCGCCAAAGGGGGTGAACTCGAAACCTCGCCGGTTAAGGATACTCGTCGTGGTTCCCGTGGCATGTTTTTTACTGGTGATCTCTGCAGGGTCTTGCTTTTTCGCGGTCAAGAGGAGTGAAAAGCATGGTTACGGCACCCTTACCGACATTGACAAAGAGATCTGCGCATTGCCTGCGAAGTTCACTTATCAGGAGTTGCTCGCAGCGACCAACGGCTTCGCAGACGATAGAAAGCTCGGCCGAGGTGGGTCTGGCCAAGTCTATAAAGGGTTCTTGAGCCATTCACACCGCCTGGTCGCCGTCAAAAGGATCTTTGCGGAGTCCCGACACTCCGAGAAGGTCTTTGTCAATGAGATGAAGGTCATAAGCCGAACGATACACAGAAACCTGGTGCCGTTTGTCGGGTGGTGTCGAGAGGAAGGTGAGTTCTTGCTTGTCTACGATTACATGCCCAACGGCAGCCTCGATCACCACCTCTTCGGGGCCCGGAGAAGACTGCCGTGGGACGTGCGGTACAGCGTGGCGCTCGGCCTCGCATCCGCCCTCAACTACCTCCACGAGGAGCTCGAGCAATGTGTGCTCCACCGCGACATAAAGGCAGCCAACGTGCTGCTCGACACCAACTTTACCACCAAGCTTGGCGACTTCGGAGTGGCCAAGCTCGTTGACCCCTGGTTCAGGACTCAGACGACAGACGTGGTCGGGACTTGCGGGTATCTAGCGCCCGAGTACTTCATCGGAGGGAAGGCCACGAAGGAGTCCGACATGTTCAGCTTCGGCATTGTGGCCCTGGAGATCGCATGTGGCCGGAGGAGCTACGAGGACGGAGAGATCCGAGTCCCGCTGCACAAATGGGTCTGGCAACTCTACCTCACCAGCAACATCCTCGGCGCGGCCGATGAAGCGATGTGCTCGGGGTTCCGGAGGGAGGAGGTGGAGTGCCTGATGATGGTGGGGCTGTGGTGTGTGCACCCAGACCCTGCGAGACGGCCAAGGGCAGGGCAAGTGATCAGGTTCCTCCGGCTCGAGGACTCGGTCCCAGAGCTCCCACGCGGCGCTTTCGACAACCCAGTTTCGTATCGGCCATCGGCTTCGCAGTTAGGAATGATGGAATCTCCATCTGCTCCTATCCAAGAATCTGTCTATTAAGTAAGACAAATCCTGCCTCCTAAAGTCATGCAGCAACACATGTCGACTTAATCTGCACATACTTCTTCATACGCTTTACTTCGGTTACAATCTCTTTTGCCTTGCCCAAATCGGAGGCTGGAGCTCGAGTACATCACGGGGACTTAGTAGCACTTAATACATATTGCTTATATTCAAATGAACAAGGCACCGCGAAAAGAAAATTTCAGTTAACTCCAATGTCTTGTCCTGGTTGTAGTGAGACTGCTTCGGAGGAGTGTAGGCTCTTTCCGCCGGATAGTCGGAGAGACGATGTACTTGACAATGTACACGTTCATTCATAGCTCCGCCACTGCTGCTGTTGGAGATAATTAGGGATTTCTCAAGGATAATTTTCTATGTTAGAGGTATTTGATAATTATCTCGATCCTATGTTATCTCTTTCAAGATCGCACGTACGTCTCCCTTTGATTATGCATATTTTGATCCATATATGTTTCCTTAGCCTATAAATAAACCGATATACTCTTCGTTACGAGATATCGAAATATACAGAAAAATTCTTAAATTCACATAGAGGAAATTCTCCAATTCATTTTTTTTAACTACTGCTGTGGCCGACATCTTGGCATTTTTATCCTGAAAATAAAACACTCCTCTGTTGAGTTTGCGCGATCTTAAAGGCTAAGATGCACTAAATTCACATGAACTCCAGGCACCCAAAAATATTTCTTGCCGGCATTGAAGGCTCGCACGTATGAGAGCGAGTATAAATGTATTGTGTGCTGGGTCCACATTGTACGTCAATGTTTTTTTTATATAACAAAGGTGCATGGGAATTAAAATTTCATTAAAAAAGCCACGTATGACAAATAGTCAGAATATATCGTTGGAAGCACTTAAGTGATCGTTTTTCCACCGATGTACCACTCAAGTAATTGTTTAAAAAAAATTGGCATTCAAATGAAAACTGTAGAAAAATTATGGCACATTTCCTAATGTAAAAGTTACTCTAAATAGACCATTTTATGTAAGTTCCACAGTGCTAGTCATTAAGGACATCCCATGTCAATTGCATAGTTTTCTTGATCTTGGATTCTTAAGATCAAGATTATGCAAAATGTTTTTACCTTGCCCTATCACACAAGATTCTGCATCTGTTAATTTTCAAAGTATTACCAACCACACATTTTCATTGAATGAAACTTAAATATCTCAACGACCTTGATTGACCTGTAATGTTCTTGATGGGGCTGGGCAAGCTGTGATTGACCTTGATGATCAATAAGAGTAAGATGATTGACCTTGACCATATTTCGTGGGCTACGATCACATGAAAGATATTCTCAAAATACAACATTGTCGGAAAGATTTCATGCACATTTTTTACAAACAAGATAATTAGATTGGATGCCAATAAAAAAACGATGATCAGATTCGATTATTTCCGGAGCAAATTGGCTCGTTGCTGAACGAAGTTTTTGAAATTCAAAATTAAAATGCCCCAGAGGATGACATTGTTCGATAAGATCTTTGACAGACCCAACTAGATAAAGTGCCTCCATTAATATTTGAATTGAAAATATGGAAAAAAGAAATTATGAGTTTGACTCCGTAGCTCCTTTTGTTGTCAGTTTTCATAGTGTCCATATAATCAGTGGCTTGAAAGCAATGGACTCTCAACTCTCAACCACTCTTTAAGTCTCTGCAAGTTGCAATTCATCTAACCAAAGCTTGCAATCCTTTCCTACACAAATTCTAGACAGACATTTTTTTTTTTGTCAGAATTTCTAGATAGACATTGGGTGGTTGGTATGATAATGTCTGTAAAAGAGGTGAACCATACAAGCTCTCTCCTCACTTTTGAAATCTAAACATCCAACTTATCACAGTGCCACCTAAGGTAAAAACCATAACCCGGAGTCCTCTTCCTATTGTCTAAATCAGCACCCGGATCTATATTGACAACGCCTTATAAAGTCACATTGTTTTTCATGAAATAAAGCCCCATACCTGAAGTACCTCTCGCTTATCTTAATAGCCACTTCACGGCTTTCCAATGCCTTATTCCTGGATTAGTCGTATATTTGCTCACATATCCCGCTGCATGACTTATGTCTGGTCTAGTATGCACCATAGCATACATCGAGTTGGTAACAGCTAATGCATAAGGCACTTCAGCTGTGTACTCCCGATCCTCATTGATTTCACGCACATAGTTGACGAATAAGATAATTAGATTGGATGCCAATAAAGAAAATGATGATTATATTGGATTATTTCCAGGGCACAATGGCTTGATGCTAGACGAGCTTATCGAGATTCAAAACCACAATGCCCAAAAGGATGACATTGCTCGATAAGCTCTTTGAGAGACCCAACTTCATACAGTGCCTCCACTAAAATTTGAGGTAAAAGAATGTAAACAAACTTATGAGTTTGACTCTGCGGCTCTTAATTTTGTTGTTAGTCTTCGTAGTTTTCACCCTAATCAGTGGCTTTCAAGCAGTGGTGTGACATCCTCGATTCGGAACCTAAATCGACAAGTGAAGTGGCTTTAACTGTCAATGCTCTAATAGCAGGATTAGACCATGAGTCGATTCACAAATCGTTCATGGATCAACTATTCGATTAGGAAAGGCAATTGAGGGTTGGACAATGCGATCGACTAGAGTACTCAACCATGGAAAATAGCTCGACCATAAGGATCGATGCGGGATGACATTATGACGTCACGGGTCAATCAGTGAAAGGTTAGGAATCGATTCGGCGAAAGTATATATAGTCATATTGCGGGTGATTCCGCACGATCATTGTACTAAACCCGAACGATCTTAAGTCAATTTCACCAGACCACGTGCCCCGGGTAAATAAGTCAATTCCACACGATTACATGATAACCGAGAATGATCCATGGATTAATGATAGTCGAATATGGATTGATTGACGAATCAACCATAAGTCACGCTAGCGACACCCCAAGAGGCCACCTAACTCGAATAGGCCGTATTAGGGACACTTCCCATTGAAGTTTTGCCACAAGCCTTGATCCGATTATAGGTTTTCGATTAAGGATTGTTCCGAGACTTTCCAGTCCGAGTTAGTCGGGGTAAAACTCGGGTATAGTTTTGGGCCCCGAAACTTTGGACAAAGGAATTAGTGGGTCGGGAAAAAGCCCAATGGGCCTCACGCCTAAGACCAAAGCCCAATGAGCCCATTAAGCTTTTCAAGCCCATTTCTCTTCCAATTGGGCCCATTCAAGCCCGAGCCCAAGTTTGCTGGCCCGAGCCCACGTGAATAGTATCAAGGGTGAATCTACCAAAATGCCCTTCAAGCATTTATGTCCTAGAAACAAAAGGATATTAAGAGAGAAGACTTTGGTGTCTTGTGATGATGGAAGAAGACTTTGTTGGCTTTGCATTTATGAGAGAAATATCTCTTGACCTCTCTTCTTTTCCCCCCAACAGACCACTCTCTTCTCTCTCTCCCTCACCAATTGGCTTTTTTCTCTCTCTCTCTCTATTCTCCCTCACGCCATCACCATTTCCAGCCACCACCAAGCCACTGTCCAGCCCCCTTTGCTGCTGTGTTGCTGCTGTGTTGCTGCCGTGGAACCACCAGCAGCGACGCCGTGGCTGCCCGCCACCGTGAGACACCCGTCCGAGCCATTTTCGCCGTTCAACTGAGCCCCGCCAAACCGAAACAGCCGCCCCAAAGCTGCTGTCCAGCCGAGACCCAGTCGTCGTCATCTTTCCGTGTCGATTCCGGACCGTGCAAAACTTAGCCCTCGCCGCCGCCGACGCACCGGTGTCTCCGGAATTTTAATCGGGTGAGTTTTCGCACTAATCCTTTGATTAGTATGTTAAACTTGCTTAGGATGGATTAGTTTAAGTTAATTGCACTTAGTACTAATTGATTAGGGGTTAGTGATAACCTATTGGATTAATTATATTATTATTTTATTAATTTTCGGGAATTAAATAATAATATTTTTATTAATTTTCGGAATTAAAAATATTATTATTTTATTAATATTTTTGTGGAAATTCCGAAATTAAATTGTGTTTATTTTAGGCTTAAATTGTGATGCCTAAGCTAGAATTTGCCTTATATATTGGTTTGTATGCCAAATTGAATTGTTTGGGTACGGTGAAATATAGAATTACGGGTATTTAATTAATAAACCCTGAGGTGTCGGGTTTATTTGTTAAGTTTTATGTGAGAAATATGTTGTGGATACTTGAATATAGAAGCATGCCAAGTTTGGGAATTTATTGATATGTGCATAATCACGTGTGAATATTTTAGTACATTTTTATGTGTGGAAGTTGGATATTTTAACGTATTAGCACGGATTATGTTTGCATCGGCTATTGAAAATTATAATGATGGAACCTGAGTGTTGCTATGTGTGCATGATCACCTAAAGGTTCCTTTCGTGCCCGGTTATATCGGAAAATCATATACCGGATGACCGCCAACCAAGGGTTTGGCCGTGGCCCTAACGGGTGTCCCCAATTTGGTAATTGGAAGCCGTCGCTGGTAGCAGGGGAGACGTAGTCATTCGCGAATCGGATTCGGAATGAACCCATTTATGGGATATGCCGTCATTGTGGTCGAGTGAGACGATGTCGTGCCCGATGGGGCGGGACGATGCCCGGATATACCGGAAGACTGCCAACCTGAGGCGAATATCGCGGGTTGTGCCGTAGCCCCTGGTGTGGCTGTAGTAATTGGAATACGCGTGAAAGATTGCGGTGGCATTGCGCTTGATTATGGGATGAAATTGCTAGGCACGGTATGGGACGGGCCGAAGCGGTTTCACTTTATAATCAGGACACGTGTGAATGCATTGTGCTTGAGAAGGTTGATGCGTATTCTGATTGCATTATATGCTTATTGCATTATCATGGCATACGGTAAATTATAACGTATAGGGTGTGTGCATGTGCCAAGGCAAGGTAAGGCTGCCTGTGATTGTGTTGTGAAGTACCTGTGTGTTCTATATTGAGTTGTTTGCCATCGATGTATCGTTGCATGGGTTAGGTGCATCCGAGATGAGTTGACCTCCTAGTCAAGGCTTAGGTCGTTAACTTACTGAGATTTTATCTCATTCGTTGTTGTTAACCATCTTTTCAGGTGCTCAGGTATGAGTACGCGTTGCGTTCTTTGTGATACGGTTATGTCGAGGGGGAAATACCTGTTGAGGTTGTCCTCGTAGATAGAGGAGCTAGGTTAACCCCCTATCCGTTGTTGTTGTAATCGGGAAGGTCGGCGTGGCGGACTGGTAATATATTAATCCCCGATGTACTATTGATGATGTGTATATACATGTTGTACGTTTTCCTGTCTATCCCCGTTGTTGTCTGGAGATATACGCTTCCGCATGTGCATGATCTAAAGTGAAAATGGATGGGTCGACGTTGCGTCCTGGGATGTCGTAATTTCACGATCAAGGAAGGATGTTCGCGCGCTCGAGGGTTCGGGGCGTGACAAGTGGGCTCTCCACCACTCTTTAAGTCTCTTCATTTAACCAAAGCCTGCAGTCCTTTCCAACACAGTTGTGTACAGAGATATCGAGTGGTTTGATGATGTCTGTAAAAATGAACCATACAAGCTCTCCCAGCAAATGTAAAACGTTGATCTGCAAGTCGCTTCCTCGCTCAGCTTCATATCGCCGAAAGTCGGTCAATTCGGGGCGATAGATCGGTCGGTTTCCATCTCCACGGTCATTGTCCGAGGCTCTCTAAAACACCCGCAAATTTTTCCACCATTTAGCAAATAACCGAGGCTCTCTAAGTCAAACCGTGTTGACATATCTTGTTCGGAAGGTAGGTAGCAATGGTACCCCATCACAAGACTAATTTATTACGTAGACTTTAGCAGAAAACAAGGAACCATCATAGAAGCTGCTTGATCTATGATCGCTTGCCGTGTCCCGTAATTATACTCAGGTTGGTTTTGAAGCACCCTAATGCAACGTATTGATCTCACAGTTTGGATGATCCAATTCCAACCAAAACCCATGTTCAGTATGCCGCGCGCCGCTCCCCGTTCTCTTTCTTTGCGCGCTCGCTTGATCTTGTTCTGCCTTGTCTGCTGTCCTTTCATTCCCTCTGTTGCTCCTCTGTCCTTCAATATAGACAGCTTCGACATGGATTTGAGCGACATATTGTACGAAGGAGTCGCGACGGCCACGAACGGATACGTCGATCTCACCACAGGCAATCCTCCGCATCGCTACCAGGTGGGCCGGATTAAGTATGCCAAGCCCGTCCACATATGGGATCCTCTCACGGGGGGCCAAGCGGACTTCTCAACCCGTTTCTCGTTCACCATCGACACTGACGGCTCTGCACAGTACAGCGATGGCCTGGCCTTTTTCCTCGCTCCTGTCGGGACCCCGATCCCGCCCAACTCGGCCGGTGGATTCCTGAGATTGTTCAATGCTAGCACGGCTAATGAGGAGCCTCGGAACAGCATCGTCATGGTCGAGGTCAACACTTTTGTGAACCCGGAGTTCGATCCCCCAATGCATCGCATAGGAATCAATAAGAACTGGCTCTTGTCCGTCGTTTCTATGGCCTAGAATCATCTATGAACATAACATACTTTCCTGCTGAAGTCATCAATGAACATAACATAGTAGCATGAGCGTCCAAGAGAATGCATAGGGCCTGGCCCCCAAACATTTATATACACCAACTCTAACTTTCTTTTATTTGGTTCTCTCCCAATATTTGAAAAACTGACATGTTTTTGCTTCCCCAGAACGCAATTCACACATAAGCCATTACCTCCGGCCTTCATATCAGGCAGCTTTCCCTTTGATGCTAACACCTTCCTCCCCTTTTAGCTCATGGGTCCAAGCCTATGGTGCCACATTTTGGAATCAGCTTCCGAGTCAACAACTGTTACTGTTTCTCTACCACTTTCAGTTATATATAGTGTTCCCAACTTTGTTCCCCGTGCTACGACCATAGCAACTTTAACAATCTTCCATGAGCAGTTCCCAAAATAGTTATGTATCCGATGTCTAATTGATCAATAGAGATTAGATTTTTCTTAAAGCTAGGAACATATTTGACATCATGCAACTTCCATTGAAACCCATTGATAGTCTTTATGTGAACATCACCCTTCCCCATAATATCCAAATGTTCATCATCAACTAGACAACCCTTTCCAAACTTTCTAGCTACATAATTATACATTAATTCCCTGCATGGAGTTGAGTGAAATGATGCACTTGAGTTTATAATTCAAGACTTGACCAAACTATCAATGCCCAAAATTAAGGCATTATTGACAAGCATCTTCTCAAAGGTTGCATTTATAGATTTGTCACTCTCTATTCCGATCTCGATACTAAGTTCTCTTCTTTAGGGCTCTACAATCTCGTCTTAGATGGCATTTCTTTTCACAATTTTAGTAAATTATTTCACCACAAGATCTCGATTTGCTTCTCCCTTTGGACTTCCATTTACCACAATTTTGTTTTTGACTTCATTGATTGCTTCTCTCTCCGCATTCACTACTCAAGGCAATACCCGAAGATTCACCCGACTCTCTTCTACGAGTATCCCCACAAAGAATCAAATCTTGGATCTCTTGAAACTTCAACTTCTTCTAACTAGATTCACTGTTCCTGCAGTCACTTGCACACCAACTTTAAATCAAAACTTTTACCTCGCCATCAAATTTCCACCAAACTCAACTGAGTCGTGATGATCACGTTGAATTTGTTGATGTGATTTGTCACAAAAGTTCCTTTGTCCATCTTCATGTTGAAAAGGCGACGCATCAGATATACCTTGTTTGACGTAAAGAGCTTCTCGTACATGTTGGGCAAAGCCCTCATCAAATTCGCCGTTGTCTTCTCAGTAGCAATGTTGAAGGCAACGTTCTGCTTCAATGTGAGACGAATCAAACCGAGGCTTGTCGATCTAACAATTTCCAATTTTCTTGCTTGATCGAATTTGGTACTTTCTCGACAGAGGCTGATGTAGGTTCTTCTGATGCAAAAGATCATCGATTTGCATCTTCTAGAAACTAAAATCCTTGCTGTTAAACTAATCAATCTTCACCTTCCCTTCGTTTATCTTCACGCTCCCACTATTCCGTTAAACCAAGCTCCGATATTAGTTGTTAGGAACACAAAACATTAAAAAGAAAAAAATAGAGAAAAAGAGACAAATTTTTACGTAGAGAACCCTTTCAAAATCAGAAAGGAGAAAACCACGGTACCGCATTGAATATTCTCTTCACTATCGAGTTTCAAAGTTACAACCATAAAAAAGATTGTCCAAAATATAGCACAAGTCTAAAGCATACAAAGTTAAGGTAAAAAATTACATGTATACCCTTAACAGTAAAAAACCTCTCTACTTTAATTTGGTTTCCTCTATCAGATTCCACAACTCTATCATCCAGCATTGATTTTCCGTGCAAAAAACGTTGGTTGACTTTAAATTTTTACTTTCCATTTACATGTCATTTAATTGGCCTTCCGCAATGCTGCATCTACGTAGGATTGACTCTTTTTTTTTGTCTGACGTAAGCTTGACTTCAAACCCTGAAATTATTGACCCCAAAATATACCTTGATTGACACGGCCCCAAGGACCTTACCTACCATCGCTATGCTACGTGCTGCTGATGTTATCTAACCCCGTCCATTGATCTCTTGCATTTTACACATAAAATTGCTACACATATATCAATTGTTTCACGGAGGTTGCATGACTTGACAGGTGAGTTCGTTCGAATTGCAAGTGTTAATATCTGTTCAATATTCTTTTGATATAAGTGAAACCAAAGAGAGACACAAAAAGGACCAAAACAGGCTTCGACCGCAAGGGTTGCCCTGCATCTCTCTGAAAAAGAAATTAGCCCCGCCTAGTTGACACACACCCAGGTGAGATGAATTTACGTGTGCTTTTTGGAATGTCAGCGTGTGTGCGGTCCTAGAAAATGAGCCCTTTGTATTTACGAGTGCTTTTTGGAATGTCAGGTTGACGATCATCATCATCCCTCTTGTGTTGCAGTACATGTAATGTTCTTTTTTCTGTCATCAGGGACATGAAAAAGATCGGCGAGAGAAAATGTCATGGGAGGAGGGAGATTCTTGTTTTATTGGAGTTGTATGAAGCTAATTAAACATAACTTACTAACAAAAAGCCCATCATTTCAAGAAGATTTGTCTACTGAAGCTCCAGTTCTAAGTTTAAGGAGCAGAAAAAAATCAATCTTCCTCTCTCCAGGATAAGTCTTACCAATGAATCGATTGATTATACGTTGAGATAGTGCTTTCACAGCAAATAGAAGCAGGAACGTCAATACACATGTATCCATTGACATCTTCCTTGTCTTCTCGACCAGTAAAGTCTCAAGATTGAGGTTTTGATATGCTTTTATAGAATGTCAACTGTGGAGCTGATGGGAAATTGCTCTTGCATGGACGGTGTCTTTCACAGATGAATCTCATTCTCACACGCTTGGATGAGAACGACTATCGACCAAAATCGTTTCGCAGTTTCATTGTCTGTCTGCTTCGATGGGGGTGGATGTTTTCACAGGAAACATATGCATCGTAATGAATTGCTTCGCAAGCAGTCGGATGTTGACGGAATTTTCAACTTAAGAGAGACGATGGGAAATTGTGGGAGAGCTTCCTCGCTAATCCTTACTATTTTTTCTCTTTACCACAGCATTAATTTGTTCTCTCAATATGTTCCATCCAATACAAATGCATATCCTGGCTAATGCAAATTGAAGGCACCGTTAACTTGACGACGAGTTTACTCTTGTAAAGTAAACCCCATCGGGATGACTTTGAAAGAAGTTAAGGACTGGATTATGCATGTCGCGTTCGATTCTCTAGATCACTAAATACAAACGGTTTCTTTTTAAGCCAGGCCTTTGATTTGTGTCATATATGATTCATGAGGTTAGTTAAGGTATTTGATGAGTTCGGGACTTATTTAAGGTGGTTTTCTTGTGATAAGTGACTTCAAGACCCAATAGCTAAGGTCGGGGCAAAGGCAACATCAAGTATTGTTTTAGTTCTTTATGCAGACTGCATGTGATTTCTCGAACTATGTCCATGAAAATGGGAATAATTTTCTGCTTTTACTTTTTGTATATTCTTGAAATTTGAGAGAAAAAAACGCGTTTTCTTACCGAGAAATATAGTTTCATTTCTTTCAAACCATGTTTTGATTTTGGTCTGGTCCACGTGGAAAGAGTGAAAATAACAAATTAAATTTTTTTAACTATTTTCACTCATAAGATCTTTTGTTAATTCTTTTTTTTTTTTTTGCCCGGGATGGGTTGTTCGAAACTTTTCAAGTACTTGACTGATTCTCATGACATGTATGATAAATTCGATTCATCTACTACCTTTGAACAAGGGAGACGATTTATATCACTTCAGTAACTTATGAGATTCACTGCAAAGTTGAACCAATGAAAGTCGCAACCTTGATTTACAGTCCGAATGTATAGACCTGATAAATGAGATTTGTTGGACCATGTGAACTCCAAATGGGACCTACATGATCAAATGGATTATATGCACGGGTCTAATGTACTATGTCTGTACCAATTTTGTCATCAATACTTGGGTCATTAGGTGCTCAGTGCTAGTCATTAAGAACATCCTATGTCAATTGCATTTTTTTTTTATCTTGCATTCTTATGATAAAGATTTCGCAAAATGTCTTTTATCTTGCCTTACCACACATGATTCTGCATCCATGTTAATTTTCGAAGGACCACCAACCGCACAAATTTTCATTGAATAGAATTTAAAAATCTCAAGAACTAAATAGGCCTGAAATGTTCTTGATGGGCTGGGCAAGCTGTGAAATGATGATCAATAAGAGTGAGCTGGTTGAACGTGACCATGTGTAGTGTGCTTCGATAACATGAAAGTAGTTCTCAAAATAAAAAACATTGTAGGAAAGATTTCATTCACATAGTTGACGGCAAAATTACCAAAAAAGTCCTCAACCTATTTCATTTGTGCCAATTCAGTCATAAACCTTTCAATTTGGCCAATTCAGTCCTAAACCTTTTGCAAACCAGCCAATTCAGTCCTTTTGGCCGGCCGGCGCTGACGTGGCCGCCGGCCGGCTGACGTGGCACCGGCCGGCGTCCACGTGGCAATATTTTAATATTTTTTTATTATTCTTTTCGAATTTTTTTCTTTTTTCTTTTTTCTTTTTCTTTTCCTTCTCCCCCCTGGCCTGTCCGGCCAGGGGGGAGGCTCGCCGGCGAGGGCGGAGGTCGCCCAGCCAAGGCGAGCTCCGCTTGGCCGGAGCTGGGCGAGCTCGCCTAGCGGCGGCGAGGGCGGAGCTCGCCCAGCCATGGCGAGCTCCGCCTCGCCAGATCTGGGCAAGGGCAGAGCTCGCCCATCCATGGCGAGTTGGGCCCTCGCCGCTCGCCCAGCTCGCCATGGCTGGGCGAGCTCCGCCCTCGCCCAGATCTGGCGAGGCAGAGCTCGCCATGGCAGGGCGAGCTCCGCCTCGCCCAGCGGCGGTGAGGGCCCAGCTCGCCTCGCCGGAGCTGGGCCCTCGCCGGCGAGCCT